TCAGGCTGAGAAATTTTAACATTAAAATGTTCCAAATTTTTGTAAAACTATCTTGATAAATAATACGATAACTTTTGATCTATTTCATTCATTAGAATAAAAATAATGAATTGTTCAAACTTACCATGTTACATGTGTAGTGAACAATTATTCAGTTAGGAAAGATCAATTTATTGTTAGTGCAAAATTAATGTCTTTGTGAAATATGAAAACTATAAAGTAAATACTTCATTTGTATATCTCCCATCAATTGTCTCTTACAAAGTTCATCATGCTTTCATTCCTATTATTATTACAGTTAATCTCTGTTTAAATTCTTGTTCTCGATCTTCCTGTTCGATCTTCTCAGACTCTACTGCCAGTCATCCCACTTCTGATTGGTGCTACACACTATTTATGTCTCTTAACATAAGTAGTGTACATATATATATATATATATATATATATATATCTGATAAGCTGATTGATTTTTCAACATAATGTTCACTCGCTACCCATTACTTTAAATCTGTCTTGCTACAGTTGAATAATTGAACAAAATCATGTTTATCACATTTATTATAATTAAATAAAGACTAAATTTATCAAGATGATAATCCTCTTCTTGGATGTAACATATCTCTAGTTAGGTATCAATATCAATTCGAAGCGAAACAGAATCGTAAATCAATTCACATTGAGATTTATTGCTTATCAGCTTCTTACTGTTATTTATTGAATTAAATGTATTACCTTTCAATGACACAGGAATGACTTCAAGAGATACTCCTGGAGTTCTAGTGGGAAGCCGTTACCAGTGGAGTTCAACCAGGTCTGTTGTGAGATATTAGCTCACTGAAGACAATGGTATATGGTGGCGCAACTTGGTGGATTGGCTGAAGTTAAACATTAACACCTTTGGACGCTGGCTCAGTGGTCTAATGGTTAAGTGCTCGCGCGTGAAGCCAGTAGGCCCCGGGTTTGAATCCCGCGGGGTGCGAGATCGTGGGTGCGCACTGCTGAGGAGTCCCACACTAGGACGGAACGGCCGTCCAGTGCTCCCAGGTTTCCAGTGGTGGTCTAGCTTCAACTGACTCATGATTTCAGTCTGTGAAAATTATCTTGATTTATAATTATGCCTTAGTTCAGAACTGGTTGAATGATTTCCAGGAAATGTAGAAAGCTAACTAAGGTAATATTTATAAACAAAGGAATGTCTGGCTTACTGAGTTCTTTGAATGAAATATTAGGCAAAATTATTTTTTCAACATTTATTCATTATCCGACTACTTATAGTTTTACTATTCTCAATATTTTCCATAAAATCATCTGAAAACCCGTGTGTGACTGATCGTGTGAACGGATAACTGCTTTAGAGCTGCTTAGATAAACCTCAAGTTCAGTATGCGAGAACGCTTCATGGGACTCTGTCTGATACTTTTATACAAGATTTTCAGTTGCTGTAGTAACACAAACAACAACAAAGTTGTATGCAAAATTAAAACACGAATTTCAGCGAAGGGATCACTTTTCAACGAATTTATTATCAAGCTGTACAATCGTATATATATGAAAATTTTGTTTTTGTAAACGCACTAATTCCGTGAGGAAATGTGAACACAGTTAATAAAAAGGTTATAATACTAGATTACGTAATATGAATAATAACAATAACAATGGATTTGGTGAACATAATAAGATGATTAAAATATTTTTATCAGAATGAGTTTTGTGGAGATTTTAGTAAATTTCACAGGTTGAAATCATTAGTCAGTTGAAGCTAGACCACCATTGAAAACCTGGAAGCACTGGACGGCCGTTTCGTCCTAGTTAGTTACTATCTCACAACAGACCTGGTTGATCGTGGATGCGCACTGTTGAGGAGTCCCATACTAGGACGAAACGGCCGTCCAGTGCTTCCAGGTTTTCAATGGTGGTCTAGCTTCGACTGACTCATGATTTCAACCTGTAAAATGTTTTTGTCATAATAATTAAGGGTCATAGGGGTGTAAAAATAATAAATAAGGTGATATGATGAGTATTTACGAATAAAACAATGAGAATATAAGACATCAGTAATGGGGAGAATGCAGTAATAATAAAATAATAATAATAATTGGATAATCAAAATGCTTAAGGCCAAGGTAACGATAACGATAAGACGTACTTCTTTGGTACGCATAGTTCTGGTTTAAGCTCCTGGATGGTGAGAGTTTCGGCTATTTTTAAGAGTTGGATACGAAGAAACCTTAAAATCAAATTGTGGATCTGTAGAATGGTTACAGTCGATTGGGTGTTCAAGTATAGAACTCCTAACTGCTTTCTTTCCCCCCCTTATAGAACCAAGCTGGAATATGTTCCCGTATCCGAGTTGAAAACGAGCGCTGGCTACGGCCAATGTACCTTGCTCTTGTGGGAACTATCTGTCAATTGAAGTATGCAAAATTGTTAATGGCTAGAAGTGGAACCCAGGACGTGAGCTACGTCCTATTTCGGACTCGTGAGATGGATGTGCCTGCATCCCTGAGCCAATGTTCACGCCGAGACTCGAACTAAGCACCGTTCGCTCCAGATGCCATCGCGTTATACACATAGCTACTGAGTTCAGATAGCCACTAGCTTGTACAACGAGGTGAAGTTTTAATTCCTTTTTTGATTTGCTTGTTTGATTCTTCCACTGCTAACCACCATCCATTTTTGCTTATAATGCTTGTGACCAAATTAATATTGAGGCAACCTGCACAGGATGCACATATGACAGTAAGAGACTAATCATTTGCAATCCTAAGCATCAATAGGATGGTTCAAACAACCAGTACAAAAAAGTGGATTTGTATGTTCAACCAACTGATAATCATTTATCCGACCACGAAATATTTTGTTAAATATCATAATATTGAATGCAGACATTAAATAACATTATAACTAAATGCTACCAACTTCTGTTAAATTGCAGAACGGTTTATACTACTTTATCTGCTTTAACTAAGGAAAAATTGACTTTTAATTTATCAAAGTGTATAACATAATTTCACCTTGATTTAACATAAACATGTTGTTGCATATCCCTAATAAAATTGATTTTATACTATTTTGTTGTGTAATTTATAACGCCTACACCGTACATTGTAATTTAGACTTCATACATTCTCTTATTTATATCTGAAATGTATCTGGTGAGTACAAAAGGCAATCAAATACAAATTCATATCTTGTAATAGACTTTATTTAACATTATATATAAATGGTTAAGATCATGAGTCAGTTGAAGCTAGACCACCATGGAAAACCTGAAAGCACTGGACGGCCGTTTCGTCCTATTGTAGGGCTCCTCAGCAGTGCACATCCACGACCTCGCCCCCTGCGGGATTCGAACCCAGGATCTACTGGTTTAGCACGCGAGCACTTAACCACTAGACCACTGAGCCGGCATCCAATAGTGTTAATGTCTAACTTCAACTAATCCGCGAAATTGAGCGACACATCCACCATTGCCTTAAGTGAGTTACTATCTCACAACAGACCTGGTTGAACTCCACTAGTCACTACTTATATATAGATGCATAACATATTATGGTTGCTCCATTTACAAGCCTAATATATTGTAGATAGTAAATGATAAATTATTAGAAAACTTAATAATTAAACAAATTAATATTGTTAGTTCAGTTAATTCAGAAAATAAAGTTGACTACTCAGGCATTCTACTCCCAATGGAGCATAGGCCGCCGACCAACATTACCGAACGTCTCAATTGTTATCTTTTTTATTTGATGTATTAGAACTCAGTTAAGTCACCACTGAATAAATATAAGATGCAAATAAGAAAAAACCTTTTTGTAGCTAGATAATAATGATAAAGATAAGAAAATCAATTAAAAACTACTAGAATTACGTCTATCGACTTACGTTTACATAAGCTTTGAGTAATCAATTTAACTATTTACAGTTTAGAATTGAAATAAGATTTACGTAATAAGAAATATATAAAATACCGTGGAACTGAACCGACATATAATTCCCGTCATGGTGGTCTAAAGAAAATATTTTCTAAAGAAATCAATTGACATATATACTTAGATTTGTATTCAAATGTAGTGCTACTGAGGTAAATAAGCCAATAATTGGTAGAAAGCTGAACATATAGTACTGGCCTATAATTGTTTCATGTTCATGAGTGTAGTAAATGACATGTTTTGGTGAATTGTTCTAAGATTTAAAATGACTTGAACAGGATTCATTTATGTGTATTCATATAAACAAAATAGTTCTTAAAACCAAAGTAATCACAAGACAAATTGTTGGAGTTGTTCTGTTGTTTACATTCACTATTGAATTTTGATTAAATTTTGTTACCATTTGAAAATCGCCCTGACTTGATCATTATCTCCAGCTGACAAGTACAAAATGGGATAAAAAATTAATCCTGCACTTCAGCTCTAGACAAAATTCATAAATTCTAAATAACAAGATAATGTTTCATAATTTTGGTTTTCCAGAGTCTAAACATATATTGGTTTATCAGTATAGTGGTTGCGGAGATTGATAAGTTTTTCAGTGAGATCATGAACCGATTGATGTTAGACAAGCATTGAAAACCTGGAAGCACTTTTGTGGGACTCCTCAGCAGTGGTGAATATATGCGATATAAAATAGCTTGTTCTGACCACATATGTATACAACATTAGTATACATTGGTATTGTAAAATTTGCTAGGTAATAATAAATTTTAAAATCTTTTTAATCTTGTTAGCTCAGTAGTTTAATATTAAATACTTAAAATATATAAACAATGGTTTTATCAAACTCAGGTAAGGATGAATCAAATTATAACAATGTTTGGCACCTTTTAAAATGATTTATTTGAATGTCTCACCAATACATTATTTATTCTTAGAATTTATAAATTCGACACTTGATTCCCACCACTCAGTCTAATATGCATAATTTTTCGTATAAGAATTCAAAATTCATATTGTTCAGACAGTGCATTTATGTGACACTATTTTTACACTTAACAGGTTACCATTGAATGTATGGATGATGAAGGACAATATGCGTTATCACGAAATGCCAGTCTACATATCACTATTACAGATATCAATGAACATAAGCCAATATTTACAAAAAGTATATTCACAGGTCAAGTAATCGAAAATCAACTACATGCAGAAGTACACATGTTGACACCGATTCATGCAACAGATCTTGATTTAGGTGTTAATGCACTTATCACCTATAGTTTAGTTAATCCATATGAATTATCATCTATACAAACAGTAACAAGTATATCATCACTAGTGACGGCTTCAACACCATCGTCGTCGTCATTATCATCATCACTATTAGTTAATTTCGTAAATAGTACTGCATTCTTTAGAATAGACCCAATCACAGGGAAATTATGGACTATTCAATCATTGGATTGTGAAAATCGTAGTGAATATCATTTGGTAGTGATTGCAAAAGATTCTGGTTCACCTGTACCACTTTCTTCAAGCGCAAGTATCATCATTACAGTGGAAGATACAAATGATAATATGCCGGAATTCTTGAATACACACTATCTATTTGAGGTAAGTTCAAGACGAAGTTAATATCTCTTAGCAATTTACCTGAACTACATAACTACACAAAAGTTTCATAAGGTAACGATTATTATTAGTTTAGTTCTAATCAAATAAATTTGTTAAATCAGAAGACTTTCCACTAGCTTCATCAATTTCTACAACTTCCATGATAATATTACTAGTTAACTTTATGATACTACTAACCGCTTGGATTAGATTGGAATACACCTACTTAAATTACTTAAAACCAAATTTAGTAAACATGTCAATTTAAATTTACGTTAAAATCTACTATTTCGATTATTCAGTGAGAATTACTTAAACTACCATTGGTTTCCAAAATATCAAAAGTTAAAGTGAATAATATTTCACGCATTGATTTCAAACAATAAGAAATACGCTCCAATTTAAATGGATACTTTCAGTAATGCTATGCATTTCAGAGTATAGATAAGTAACTGAATAAATAAAGATTTGTATCAAACATAATCGATGAAGTTTTGTGAGTTATTGAAGGGATTTCATTGAGGTGAATAATATAAACACTTTCATTCAAATGCTCCTATATTGTTACACCAGACATCCATACAAACATGGAAGTATCACTGACTGAAGTATAGAGGTTTTCTAGAACACTTATTATTTCGTACGAGAATAAAAGTAATTCTTACCTGTAGAAACAATATTTCTCTGTAAATAGACTACTTTATATAGATTAATTGCTTATGAATCATTTCATGTTTAAAAAATGTTTGTTTCCACTGACATTTATTGCATCATGTTTCATATTTCGTTAAAATTATTTCAGGTAGCTGAAAATGCACCAGGTGGTACAGAAATTGGTGTTGTCGAAGCTATAGACAAAGATGTATCAACAATAAATCAACGTGTACGTTACAATTTACGTGGTAATAATGACGACTTGAAATTAATTACAATTGATCGAAATAGTGGTACATTGAGAACTCGACGTCCAATTGACAGAGAATCCAGATCTTCTATATCACTTATAGTAGAAGCAGAAAATGAAGTACCAATTCATCGTTCACAATCTGTTAGAAATGATAACTTTAATACGATAGTCAACCATATTGGTACAGAGGCAAGTGTAGTAATCACAATTTTAAATTTAAATGACAATCGACCTGAATTCATTTTAATTGAACCACATCGTTCACATGTCACATTTACTTGGGAACAATTAAACCCATTAATTATACCGAAACAAACTCAACTAAATGCTACTACGGTACATTCAAAATCTGACAATCAGTTTGAGAAAAAGAGAAATCAATCAAAGAAGAAAATCAAAAATTATCCTCTTTAGAAGACGCTAATCCTGTATGTGAAACTTTGCCTCATCGTGTGATGATAGAGATATGGAGTCGGATTCTATGTTAGACTGTTGTATCCTTGAATTATTAGATAATTACAATGGATTATTCGCACTGATCCCACAAGCTCCAAGTGTGCTATGTGCTATGTATAGACCGCCGAGTCCACAAACTTACAAACTGACGCTTATAGCAAAAGATGGTTTGACGAATGATAGCCTATCATCTCAAGTAAGTAAAACTAATTATTTGGAACTGTTCATGTTTTATTTCATTGTCATTAAGATTGGTGGTTAATTAGTTAACTAATGCAGTTTCTATTTATTATGTTTCAGGCTCAAACTGCTCAACACCTGTTTTGTATTAGGTAACCGAGTAGTATCACTAGCCTTCATGGAAACCCAAAGTCGAGTATATGAAGCCATACTTCATAAATGAGTTATACGAATTAATTGCTTCGTACTGGACCAACTCTTAAGTTCAAAAATATTCTGAAGATAGTGTAAAACAGTAGATTGTTGAATTGTTTACATTTTACTTCCTAACCACCAGCAAAGCTTATTAGTTCGTTATGCTAAGTTTTAGTGCTAATTTCTAAATTTTTGGACATAATGTTACGATTGAATCAAATGAAGAACTTTGGTTGTGACGAAATTTGAACTAAAGGCCGCTAAGTCACTAGTGTGATACTCTATAAACCAAGTTGAGAGACCAAGATGTCATTATAAATAATTCTGTAGCTCATATTAGTGATACAGTTTAATGATAAAATGTAACCGTTTATCCAGAAGTAAGACATCGAAATAATGAACTTATAACTGTTGCAAGTATGGTTTAACTTGATATCTGTAAAAAAAATTTCAAATCTGTTTTTATCTGAGTTCATTACATTATTGGATTGATAGTGTCGTTAGAAATCTGGATTAAAGTATTTCAACTCAGAAGTCTCTCTAGAAAGATACTAGTTTTCGATACCCTGCAAAATCTCGTAAATTAGCGCTGCAAAAGATCTCAAAATCAGAATAACAGCAAATCAATTTGATTTTACCTGTTTTTTTTGTGGTCTTTCATTTGATCTCAAAGTGCAACAACAAACATCTCTAGCCTAGTCTCTATTGAAAATCGTATTTTCGTTTATTTTTCCCGTTACTGGTGTAAGATATGAGCACGGAAATAATGCCACATGGTGTATTCTAACTTCAGTCATGAAAACACCACACATACGACTTAAATGCCAGAAAATATTAGATTTCAAATTGTATTCATTTTGTATTGGACGAACGCTCAGGTGGGGAATACCAATTAAGTGTTTAATACAAAATTAGTGTCTTAGTGAAATATGAAAACCATAAAGTAATTACTTCACTTGCATATCTCCCATCAATTGTCTCTTACAAACCTCATCATGCCTTCATCCCTATTATTACTACAATTAATCTCTGTTTAAATTCCTGTTCTCGATCTTCCTGTTCGATCTTCTCAGACTCTACTGCCAGTCATTCCACTTCTGATTGGTGTTACACACTAATTACATCTCTCGACATAAGTAGCATACACCACAATTTGATTTAGCATAAAACAGAAATCTCTTAGAAACTGTCATACTTGATGATTCATGTTAGTCCTGTTTCAATGTACATTGACAAATAAAAAAATACGAGAACACGTACGACAATTATTTTCACTCCAAATTATTATTTTGGAAATCGATTCCAACTTAGTCGAACTACTTAAATGTATAGATAAGTAATATGAACTGTATTATTCAATTAAAATTCGATAAAATTTTATAACTACAAAAAACCTTACAAGAGAATAACATAATGAATTATTTTCTGTCTCTCCACTTAATTTATGTACTCTTATGCTTCAATGACCATTTGGAAATAATACAATAATCATATTAATTGAATTCATTAAATCTTAAGATCGGTTTTTCCAATACGAACTGATATCCCAACTAAAGAATCTTTAAACACTTATTTCATACTGAACATTAAGACATTGATTATTTCACTATGGAAAAATAAAACATATTACTTATTAATAATAATAATAGTCATATTAAAACTAATAATAATTATCAGTAGAAATAGCCTAGAACTTCAAAAATAGATTAGTTGACAAAGGAGTATATACGTTTTACCGATTAACGTTCAGTTAAATCAATGAAATATAAGAAAAGTATCTTTTCGTTTGCTCTTAAGAAAAATAAAAAAGAAAGGTATATAAGAGAGTAAAAAAGAAGAAGAATAACAACAACAGCAACGGAATAAACAAACAAAAACGAGAAAAAATCAATAAAAAAGGAACATTTGTATCTGAGCATATGTATATATATGTAGAAATGGTAATGAGGACTAAATAACAAATTAATCAATAATCAATACATTGAATTAATTTTATTTTAGTTTTCATTACAATTACAAACACTAATTCTCATTTATTTGTTTTGTTTATCATCGCTATTTATTTTATAATGCTTCTCCTAATGTTATTTTCTTCTTAATTTCATTCTTTGGTCTATTTGTAAGTAAATTATTGTTAATAAATGCAGTAAGAATGCTACTAAAAGACAAGTCAAAAAAGAATTAATACAAGAATAGAAAAGTATAGAAATAAGATGGATATAATTGAGAAATAAAATGAAATAAGAAGATAATACTTTGAATTATGTTTCTGTTTCTTTTAATTATAGTACAAACATGTAATGAAAAATAATAATAATAATAATAACGATAACAATAATAACCATAATATCAATGTTGATCAAGGAAATCATTTATGCTTAATGAAACAAATACCATGGTAACTGTGATTTTGTGCTTGAAATGACAAATGAATTAGTTTGTCAGTTAAATATAGATTTTGTGTTAAAATGTTACTTTTATGAATCATTTTGAATTATGAAGAACTGACAATTTAATCCAATAATAAGTGTTCAAGACAATAAATAATGTCAGTATATATAGATCTTTGGAAATTGTTTATTCACATACTTACTTAAGTTAAAAAACATCACAGATCGTCGGACATTATTTCATCTTAGTTTAGTTTTCATAATCAACCAATATCTGTCGGATACTAGGTTGCAACAAATAATTTCACTACTCTATTTAGACTCTGCTACTTAAGAGTGAATAGCTCCATTCTTACATGGGATCTAATGTCGTATTCAGAACAAAGTTTGACCATAAATTTGGAACTCCATGGTTTAGTTTTTGGATGTCGACTTATTCTCAATATTCTGTAGTTAGCATTAACAGCAATTGATGATATACGTCTCACTTCAAACACTGCTTTTCGAATGGAAACATCAGTACTGTCAAGGTGATTTACAGCTTTGTTTAATTCATGCAGACCAGATGAAGTATAATTTTTTTAAATAATCCAGAAAACAAGAAAGATTTTGCATCTTCTTTTCTTTTTTTTCATAATTAGTCTTTCAAATCATTATACCTACGTAAAGCATCCTGAAACCTAAATATATGTTTTGACACTATTCTTGATACTTTTGCTAATTTATTTGACCAAAGAACATTCCAAAACATTTTTATATTCTATGCATTTGTCCCATATATGTCATATAACATTCTTTAATGAACAGTCTCTCAGCTATAGCATTCCTAATAAAACTCGTCTATAATAAGCTATGGAGATGGGAAAAAATGTGACAATTAATTTATTTTCTATCGTACCAATCATTACTGTAATGTTAGAATAGAAAAGTGATGGATTCATTTAGTGTTGTTCTACTTGTATCTTCTCATTGTTAATTAGGACTGCAATCGATCAGTCCCTTGTCGGCATTTGTGCATCCTGTACGAATTGCCTCGATATAGTCATAAATCATAAGCTTTTTAGACAAAGGTGGATAGTGCCTATCAGTGGAATCCAAGACGCACGTTTCGTCCCATCTGGAACTCGTAAGTTAAATGTACCTGCACTCCAGAGTTGATGTTCACTCCGGGGCTCGAACCTACTACCATTCGCTTCAAACGCCATCGTATTATTCACCTAGTTACTAAGTCCTGATGATGATGAGTTTTAATCCTAACGACAACACTAGTATACAGTTAGATCCAAATTGAGTTTAATTGATAAACCACTATTCAGAAGATAAAGTGTTCATTTTGTACTTTTTTTTATAGAATAATTCAAATACTGTTATAAGTACATGATTGTTTCATCTGTCATAAATGATAAATATGAAAGTTAGAATGAAAAGTATCTGTTTACATCCACAAAAATAACCCTGATAATAAGACAAATAATAATAATAACAACAAACTAATTATATATGATCAACTCATTATAATTTAATTACGATTAAATATCATAATATCTTTAAAAAAACAGATAATAATTCCCTGATGCATTTATCATCATAATGATCATGATCACTACTACTGATAAATATTGTAGTAGATTCATTCATTCATTCTTATTAAGTTCATTTAAAATGCTTACATTGATAAACAAATAAGCAAGCAATTTTACAACTTGACAAGAATAGTTCTTAGCTAATTATTTATCTATTGTTACTATAATCATTATTTGTTTCTCATATGTTGTTTTCATTCTATTTCACCCATTTCATATGTATATATATATAAACATTTGATAGAAATTATTAATATTGATAGTAGATCGGTATCATATTTCATTAAAAACTGTTCGATGCTCTTTTTCAATGATGAAATAACGTTAAATTATTTTTGACAGATTCCCAATTATATATATGCCCCTTAGAGATGTTAGTAGGCTTTATGAACAACATAGGCTTAAACATGCTTTTTAATTAGGTATTCAGTCAAATTGGAAAGTTATATTCTGAACCAAGTACGTAAGGATAGGCATCAATAAGGATGAATTCTTAAAGTGTAAACACTGAAATGCTGATTTAATAATACAATAAATAACGCCATTCATCTAATTATCTGACTAATCATTACTGAGCTCTAAAAAAGTACATATTAATAAAGGTGATCACATGTAAATCTATTGAACTGAATTCCGATGAATTAATTGTAGTGAAATGTGCATATTTGCTTTAAAATAAGTCATTTGATTAGAGTTTGAAACGTTACAGAATATATATAAAGACAACTGACTACATTTCAAGTTATAATTTTATGTCTCATCTGAACGGAACTCGAATACTTGAAAAGTTACAGAGTCGCATATTTTTAGAGAGTGAATGGTCACACATTCAAAACAGATAAACTGCTTAACGATAATAAAGCTTAAATTCATAAGGAATATCGTACAGACAAGTGTAGAGCGCTCTTTCATTTGAAATATGAAGTTATTAAAATGCAACCAATGGCACATAATTATGTTCGAGATAAAGTTAAGGTATATGCTGAAGAAGTGATCAACAAAATATATGATCGCACACGTTTATTGTAGAATTCGTCACATGAAGTCATAGCTACGCTTCTGATTTGTTATATATTATGTCAGGTCGACATCCACTTGTGATTTTAACGAAGCAGTCAATAAACATCAGTCACTTTTGTCAAGTTCAAAATCACTTGGTGCACTAAATCTATCATCTGAATACTGGATGACGGTGAATAGAGAAATTTTCCTTCTACATGACGGCATACCATACGAAAAACGAATTTTAAAACATTTTACAACTCAGAGTCTGGATTAGTCAGTAAAGTGTTCGCAATGGTATTACAGATGGAACAGTCAAGGCCTTATTATATTTCTTAATTTAGATGCACCCAATGTATGGTAAAAAGTCCAATACTATTATTTCATTGGTTTATATTCTAATGAACGATAGAAGTGCGAATTCGCATGTGTGAGTGTTTAATGAATTGAATGAATTGCGCTCAAAGTCAAATCTATTAACTATCATAACTAATTGCGAACATTCAGCCTTATTAGCATTTCTACAGGCACATTCGAATAAATTACACGAAGTCTGTTTGTTTCATGTGAGACAGCGTATGTACAAAAGACTACAGCAATCACTGAATCTCCAACAGTGTTACAATACAGTTGATAATTTTGCGTTTCAGATCCGTTAATCAGAGGCGTTTTATTTTATGCAATTCAAGAATGTGGTAACGCCGTCTGCATCTTTAATGAAGTTACCACTCTAGGTTCAGAATAAAGAGATCGAAGTATCAACAAATTATATTTAAAACACCTGGTTTCGGGGAGCAATATGACGTACACATCGCAGAGATTGAACATCAACCCGTTGTTCCGAAGTCGTAATAACCAATGGTGGAAATACACAAGTTAACCAGAAATATTTGGTTCAATCTGAATGATTTTGAATTATCACGGTGTTGATGTGTTCAACTGAAATTTGATCACTATTGGTTGCCATGTGTTCATCCTGAGCGAATCACCTCAATATAAAATTGAAGAAATGTGACTAGTACTGTAATTCAAGACGCGCGTTGTGTGTAACTTAGCACTTATCAGCTGGATAAACCTCCATCTTTGAGTTTATATCCACTTCAGGACTCTAACCCAGTACCATTCGCTTCAAATGCCATTTCATTATCCAATTAGCTACTGAGTCCAGCCTTTCAATTGAATAATATTAAGTTGCAATCCCGTAGTAGACGTTCAAACTGGGTTGAAGGTACATCCGGCTGTCTAGTCCTACATTTCACCTATTCTATATCAAAAACATTCGGCTATTGTTTCTTCCATTTTTCACTTAACTTGTAAGTAAAAGAGAATTAATTTGACTCACAATAACTGAATAATAATTCTTAATCTGAAGGTAAAATATTCCATAATTCTTTGTACATTTACATTTGGTGAGTTCGTTATGTAGACTAAAATGTCACCAGTTTTAATATCAGCTTAATTCAAATATATTTCCAAGTATTGAAAGTTAGTCAGTACTTCGATTAACTTTCTAAGCAAATTTATAATTAATTTTCCATTAATTACATTATTTTGTTACTTATCGATTTATTTAATTTAGTATGTAGATAATAATGTTACTAATTATCTAGAATGATTTTACAAAGTTCTATTTAGACTACTAATAAAAATTGTATATTACTCTAATAGTATTGTGTATACTATTGACATGACGAGTAAATACTTTTTGCTTAACAAATGAAAACTCCTTCCTTCATGATAGATACATTCTATAAAAATACTCAAAGAATATTTTTGAAGTTAATATCAGAAATGAACAAAAAATATAATAGTATGACAGAAGATGATGAGTTTTAAAGGTCATGGACATTGAACATTTGATATTCTCATTTGAATAGGGTAAATATTTGTTTCTTGAATTAAGAAATATATCTAGCTAATGATTAAGTTGTACACATCATGAATGTTTAAGTAACTTAAACTTCTTTTTATACAATGTATTTCAGAATCGGAGGTATTTTTCACCTTAACTTCATCTTTATTCAAGACATACAATTGTTATTAATCATAATAATACATCCAACAAGTTTCCCAATTATCTGGATTCGTGATTAATAATAATTAGTATATCTCATAAATAATACTTATATTATGTATAAATGCACAATCATACATTCATCTGGTTTATTCATATCCGAGTTTTCATTCGTTTACTGACTACGTTAAAGGATTAATCAGTGATTAGTAAATGCTCAATTTGTTCTCAAAAATGGCTTTTATTATTGATGATTAATTTTGTAGTATAAAATTTTGTTTTAATTATTCTTTTCATAATTTTTTTTAAATCTTTATATTTTTAGGTTCATTTCACAGTGATCATTCGTAGTGATCCAAATCTTAGAATATCAGATAAAAAAAGTAATAATCATCGTTCAGATCAATTAGGCATAGATTATTTAACAGAAAAACAGTTAAATTTTGATCAGAATAAATTACACAATGATTTGATAAACAATAATTTCAATTATGCTGAACGTGATAGATTAAATAAAGATTATCCACACAGATCGTTAAATCTTGATGGTAGCGTTAATTCTGGATTATTATATCCTTCAGGATTATCATCATCAGTGTCTGCATCACAACAATATAAATTAAATCATTCTAAATCGTATGGATCTGGACATCAAACAATAATAATTATTGTGATGGCTTCAATTGCTGGAGTGTTATGTGTTTTATTATTAGTAGCTATTATTCTAACAAAACGTTGTACATTTGATACTGTATCAACATCAATAACAAACACGAAAGGTACGTTTAAATATTATTAAATACATAATAAAATTTATAGAAAATATTGATATGTAAAAACCTTGCCTCATAAATATAAAGAATATTCTACCGTGTTATACTAATAAATAACAAATATTCATTACAAATGTACTCAAGATCAAGCTTACCCCTAATTAGACTAGATCATTTTGATAAATAAAATGAATGCAATCATTACATCTGTTGTACATCATCAATACAATCAAATATGAATTCATATTACGAATAAAATCTTAATACTTAATAGTTTTAAATAAAGTTTAAGTATTATCTTACCATAAACAAACTATATTTTTCCATCAACCACCATAAAAGCAATAAAGCTTCTGGAATAGATACTTCCAGTTTATCAGTTCAATGAATGAACTTATTCTCAACTTTAGTCTAAATCGAAATCTACTATGAATACAGAAACCTATTTACTATATAGTACTAGTATTTGTAACTCAGGTATATGATTTTGATGAAGTTTTATTCTCTGAGCTGGATGGTTCGGTCTTGGAGCTTTCATCATTCTTCTGAACGACATTATCTGTACAAACTTCAGGAAGATGTTTCTACTCTATGACCAAACCATCCAGCTCAGAAAATAAAAACACTTCATCAAAATTATATGATTAGAAAATTTTTTTTTCTTATTTATTACAACTTCTAGATGTAATAAATTTGTAAAGACACCATACAATAAAATACATTTTAACATGTTCACTACAATAGGATGAATGTTTATATATAATAAGATTAATAACATATTTCTCAATTTATCTTTGTTAATTATACATCTAGTAAATCATTAGAAATGTCTAGTTACTAAATTTTAATTTAAGACATTCATTAAATTACAAATTATTTATGTCTCCCTATTAAATGTCATGACTATAACTATGTACTAATAATTCATAACTACTATCAAATATTAATTGAATATTTATGTATCATAAATTACTGATAATTTTTTGATTACATAATATTGATTTAGGTATATTAGAAAAAAAAAGCGATTCATATATATTGATTATTAGTAATAACAAAATATTCATAGTCGATTAAACCCATTTTACTTTATCAGAGATTTATAATCTTCACATGATTTAAATATATGTCAAGTTATTTTTAGAATGATAGTTGCTACCATATATCGTCTGATTAAACATCATTAATGATAATAATAATAATAATAATGTGGTTATATTCTAGAAATAATTTCAGAACTCATGTCGATTTGCAGACATAATCAGGTTGGTACAGAAAGCGATGTATCATGTAAAGAGCAAAAATTTAAGGTTGAATGGTTTTAAATTATACTACCTATAGATTGTTTTTGGTGGATATTTGTCATAAGTATTACTATTATATGAAGTGATGATTTGGAACCATCAATTCCTAGTACCGAAACTAAGCCTGTTAATATATGAATAGGGTTACTTCCGGTACCGTTACAGTGTAATTGTAGTCATCTACAATTACCATATACAATAAAAATAGAAATTACTTCACTAGTAAACAACGAATGAGACAGTTAAGAGTGTAATCAAAAAAATGATAATCATTTTTTGCTATCTAATTTACTCATGACAATTTTCTTCTGAAGTGCTTTAAGATATTACACAACCAATCACCCTTTGAAATGAAAAATAGAAAAAACATGCAAGGTTTCAAACTTATCAAATAAACAAGCATAAAATTTATTTGCAAAAATTCTTTCAGATAACGTCAATTTAGTTCGCAATGATTTGATACAGAAAGTATGTACTCATATAGGCATAACTGTGACAATTTGTTGAGATTTATTAAGCTTTAACGGTCAGTTCTGTTCACATTCTCATCCGGTTACTTATTTTGTCAGTACTCACATTTTCACTCTACTAGTCTTTGTACCAGTCTTCGTAAATTTGGATTCAAGATTATTATAGTTTTACATAATAATGTACGTCTGTCTAGTACAAACAAGACAGTATCTATCTTGCACTTACTCTAAAAGATTATAATAGGTGTTCTGTAAGAATATATTATAGTGTTACAGTAGTGAACAATGGTAGTTAAATATTCTTTGAATTTTGACATAACATCGGGCTTCTGCTGTGAATTCCAGATCTAAGTTTAGTCAATTCACAAGTTCGATATCTCGTAGCTAAATATTTTATTTTCTGCATTTGCTACACGTCAGATCTTAAAGGTAGTAAATTCACTAGTTTATCCATTAAAGATATATAATAATACTAAAAATTGTTTCACAACCTTAGATTAATATAATTAAAAGTAATAACAAAGTTATATTGTTATATGTGCTACTTATGTCGACAGATATAAGTAGTATGTATCACAAATCGAAGAGGAGTGCTTAGCAACAGAAGTTTGAGAAGATCGAATAGAAGAGAACAGAAATGGAAATGAACGAACAACAAAGCCTGAGACAATTGATGGATATTTTGCAGACGAAGTATTAAACGTATGGTATTCATATTTTTGTTGAGATATCTTTGGTTGTCCCTACTTGTGTTCATCTTCACTGCAATATACTCCTCTGAAACCCTGAATGAAGGACATTTAGAGAGAAATAATTATCTAAAATGTCAGTCAAATTATCAGCTACTATGAGAATTAAAAGGTATAATGAATTAGCATTTAATTTTACAGTGATGAATTTAACACTTCTTGTATAGATGATTATTACATGAACTTAACTGTCTTTCAGATTTTCATCGAATAATAAAACTTTCTCTGTTCTTAATTTACCTATTCACCTATTATTATTGTTATTATTATTATTGTCAAACATCATTCCATATCAGTCTTGTTAGTTGATTACGGTAAACTGCCTATTAGGTTTTTTTAGTTTTTGATGATGAGTCAAATATTTTTTATATCAATTCCACTTCATTTTTTTAAATAACTGTAACTACGTTGTCAATCGATAAAATATTTTAGATGCGAAGCTGCATCGAAAACTCTACCCGATTTACAGTCATCAGTAATATATTTAGTAATAACAGTTTCAATAATACTCGGAATGGAATAATTTTGAAAGTATGAAGAATCCTTAAAGAGATTCCCTAAAATATACTAAAAAATATTATAATTTGAGGGAAAATGGGTGGCGGCTAGCAGTGTAATCCATGACGACCATTTCTTCATATTTCGGACTCATTAGCTAGATGTGTCTACATTTCAGTGTTGGCATTGACTTCGGGACTCAAACCCAGTATCATCAGCATCAAATGCCATCGCATTATGCACTTAACTACTAGGTTCAGATGCACCACACAAGTGAATAACAAGATAAATTGAATCTTTACACTTTTTTTAACGTTACAGATTTTACTAAAGAAGAACCAAATAATCAAAATGAATCAGCTGTTGGAATGAAATGCCCTAGTTCAACTGGGTCATCACCGTCTAAAACAAAAGTAAGTATAACAATATCTAATTGAATTTTATAGCATAATTATATTGATATTTTCGTTGAATGTTTCTTGAGTGGATAAAATCATAAATTTCAATGTACAAATTAATCTTATTTCAGCTTACAATAAACTAACCATGTTTTCTGTATAAATTATTACGTAATATATCAGTCTTATATATTTGAATAGAATTATTTTGATAATTTTCACCTTAAATGGTAAAAAATAAGTGTCCTATTGCTTCTCTTTTACATACTTACGTATATTTTTTTTGTCATCTCTGGTTTGATTACTTTTATGATATTAACAATTTAGGGTATTCGACGATATTGCGCAACCATCTTCCATTGTTTTCTGTGGGTAACTGCCTCACACCTGACATGGATTAGCTCCACTGGTTACGGCTTCCCATAAAAGGATGAAACGGCCGTCCAGTGCTCCCAAGTTTCCAACGACGGTCCAAAATTGATCGATTCACGATCTCAATCAAAATTCAACAATCTCCACAACCCTATACTGATAATTTACGGTATTATTTGATAGTTGGCACTATTTCCTACTGTCCGTATAATTTTTTACAAGTAGTTCCCAAGAAGATATAAGCGACAAAAACCAAACTTAAATTTAACAATGTACATCAACCACCTATTGTAATACTATCTACATACTGAGTAAATACTTATGTCAAGATGAATTTTCTAGATGTTTTTAATTGAAAGTTATGATACACTGAACCGACCAAGTTAGAAGTTGGACAGTAACTCACAAGTGACATTGGATAAAGGATGGTTACTTTCACAAGTTTGATAATGCTTTCATCGTGAACTGATATCAACTTGTAGATCAATATAAACTAAATGAAACTGATCAGTTATTTTATCCAGTCACAAAACACCGGAGTAAGTTACATTCTCGACTTTATAATAGATTCGGATAATTATTATATTATTCTGGGATTCGAATCAAGACTTAAATATGAACAGCTAAATGTAGCACGCCATTCTCTGGACTAGACAGTCAAATTTGTCACAAAACGGATTGTGAGTGGGCACTGTTTCGAAATCTCTTACCCTCCATGTGTCTGTGATTCTCCATCCTACATCCGTATACCATGACACTTATGAAACTAGTTATGTACAGATCTAAGAAAAATTAAAAATCTACATTCTAACACATTTGTCATATAGAAGAAGAAAATATGTAGTAACTATCATTCTGAAGAACAGCTGTTATTATAGTTAACAAAGACTTTAAACTTGACCCGTTAATGGCTTACAAAATCCGAATTTAATGATTATTTACATTAAGGTTTTAGAAAAATCTAACATAACGAATCCTGAAGGATTTTTAACAGTTTGGAATTCAGTGCATCCAACAATCAGTAGACATATCAATATTAACCTAGTTTTTAAAATAATGAAAGATTTTTATGCTTTCTTAGTCTCTTTCTAAGTATAAATATATATAATATCATAGTTATTCGGTGATATTTATGATTTGTAATGATTTTCCCTTGATATTATTCCCTTCTATCAACAAACCCTTGGTAGTCAAGGTTAGTCATGGCTTCTTTTGATAAAAAACGTCCTATAAAGAAAATTGATGTGTGATTTTATTATATACTTGCTTTAGTTTTCTTCATAACACTCATTTTTTTATTAATAATGTTTATTGTAGACTTTTCATTCATTTCCCGTAAATATGCATCATATCCATTCAAATCCTGATTATTATGCAAAAGAAATGATCTATCATCATCCTGTTGGAATCGCATCGAGTGAAACAGCTTATGATATTTCACTTGAAACTATGAAACCATCTAACAATATTACATTTTTAAACAACTATACACCATTTGTTCCTTTAAATTTAAGATCAAATAATACTCAACTAAGAGCTATATCAACTCATTCACCACAAACAAGACCTATACAATGTCAAACTCCAATTGATGATGATTTATATCAAGAACAGAAATCTCCTATAATTAATTCTTCTACATCTTTTAATCCTTGGTCACAATCATGTTCACCATCAAAGAATCCAACTTATATGCAAATGAATTTAACTAATACAAGAAGTTCACCATTAAAAAATTCTTTTCAACATCTAAAATCTAATGAAAATTTTTCAAAAAGTATTTATCAAACTATTGATACACGACTTATAAAACATTCACAATTGAATAATAATAATACACCAACTAATTCTATAACTAATACTAATATGATTGGTTTAGCTACGCCTACAATTAAACGTGATCATTCAAATAAATTACATAATTTAAACAATAATAATAATAATAATAGTAGTAACAGTACTAATAATAATGGTGGGAAAGTACACTTCAATAAAACAAAATTGAAATTATTATCAAAAGAACATTTTCAACAAATTAATGATAATTTACAATCTACTAAAAATGATAATAATAATAATAATAATACAGAGACAAATGAATTAATAAAACCTTTATTACAAAGAGCTAATTCTGAACGATCGCCTTATTTTCAAACTAGTTTTGTGTAAATATTCAATAATCTATGATTGAAATTATATACAAATGTATTTATTTATTCATTTTTCTCAATATTATTTATATTCAATTTGTTTATATTTATCTTGTGATTAATCAACTTTCAACAAGATAAAGAGGACAAAACACTAATATATTCATGATGATGATTATTATTATTATTATATGATTTCAATAATTGAGATCATGATTCATTTGAAGCTAGACCATCATGGAAAACCTGGAAGCACTAGATGGTCGTTTCATCCTATTATGGGACTTCTCATCAGTGTATATCCATGATGCTGAGCAATCCTACAATAGGATGAAACGGTCATCTAGTGCTTCCAGGTTTTCCATGATGGTCTAGCTTCAATTAATTCATAATCTCAACCATTGAAATTACCATCATATCCACAAAAATCCTTCTGATATTATTATATAGTTTATAAGTCAATTATAAGCACTATGTGTGTATATTTTATTTGTGTATTTAATAGTTTACACTTAATGTTACAAGTAAAAGTTATATTCAGAAAATGTTATTGTACATATAGTGAACTGCTATTATTATTATAATGATGATTATTCTATTGTGTAATTTTTCCTTATGCATTTAATTATGAGAACTACTGATTAGGTTTGTTTTTTATCGATTTATATAAAAATCACTACAAATTGTTTATGACACATTTATCATACAATAATTACACACAGGAAAATGATCTGAAATGTTTAACCATTATGTAGAAGTTATTGTTTCAATGATAATGACAATATTAATAATAGTAAAGATACTTATTTATAATATGTTTATAAATATACTTATATATGATAGTTTACTCATTCGGTATCAGTGTATAGTATATTTTATGAAATTGTTTTTATCAGTGTTTTCTTTGAAAATTACAAGTGAATTTGAAAGTTTATATGTGACAGTATGAAGGGAGAAATATTTCTTAATCTTAGTTTTATGACCGATGTCATTTGTTAGAAACGTTCATTTGTAATATGATAAAGGGAACAATATGTATAAAACATCTGTGATATGTCGAACGATATCGATTTGATCACTTGACGTTTGAAAGCCATCAAACAAATAAAGTTCAAATATGTGAGTAAACGAATCATGTAATCAAGATCATTTGTCGCTTGTTATAGTCAGTTTGGTAACCTTTAAATATGTAAGAGCTGCTAACGATATTACTCTTTTAACAATAAAATTTCTTACTTAGTCTTAATTTTCTCTTTCTGAGTAGCTGGTTGGTCAAATTTAAGGAATGTAATTTTGGGTAACACATACTTCTTTATAAATTCTAAGTAATGTTATCTAGCAATGAAATTTTAGATTTTATTACTGAAGAAGTCATGATAATCGCCTATGAAATTAAATTTATCAACTTATCACTTATATCTTAGCTTTAAAAAGTCTTTGAGGAGAATACTAAACTAAACTTGTGGACAATTCCTAACGTAGATCAACAGAATTATATCTATGAGATCAAATGTAATGACTGTAATGATATACATGTAGGTAAAACGTCATGGTAATTGAATGTAAGGGTGAAGAAATGTAAACTTTGATTAAGACAGATTCCTAAATCCTCAGAACATCTGGCAAAGAAACTAGAAAACAAGTTGGGAATAGTATTGAATTAAATATAGTTCATACTTACAACTGATTTCAATGGTACGAGGTTTTGTTTAGCACAAAGATAGACTGACGGCTGAACTTCTGTACACATAAGAAAATCCAAACATTATAAATAGGAGAGATGGAATACAATTGGTTGTTCTGTGGAAATTAATAGTTCATAGGTAAATGTGAATTTTATTTGACATTTTACTTCATTTAATTGTCCTTATGTGGAAAACAATGATTACCTATACTAGTTCTAGTCAATTGGTTTATTTTAATATACAATGAACAATCAGCTTAGTCAATAAAATAATATGACCAATGTATTTATTTAATTCAAACATACTGGTAGTTTGGATCGTCCCACTGATGTTTAGGACTGATCAATTGGTTAAATGAATGAATTAAGCAGATTAAAAATTAAAATTCACTATTTTGTACAAGCCAGTGATTATCTGAGATCAGCAGATAAGTGGATAATCCGATAGTGTTTGAAGAGAAAGTACTGGGTTAGAAACCTGGAATGAAGATCAACTCCAGGCTGCAGCTACATTCAGCTGATGAATATCAAATAAGATGAAATACTCGTCTTGAATTTCACTGCTAGCCACCATCCATTTATCTGTTTACTTATCTCAATTTTATGCATGCTGTAACACGTTTGGTTTGTATAACTTAACAAATTACCTAATTTGATCAAATTCCTAATCAGAGACGTTATAGGATCAATGAGTTTTTTCCCTCAACAGATCTACACAGAGAGAGAGAGAGAGAGACATATAACTGGCATTTTAACACAATTTCTACTACTTTTAACATTAAATGTCTCATACGCAACCTAACAAATTCTTTTTTCAACGTTTTTAATATGATCGGACGAGTTATTTCAGTATACAGCTAACTTGCGAACCACATATTTATATTCGATAATTATAACTTTTGATTAATTCCCATTAAAAAGCTTAAACCAGACAGACAATAAAAACGTATTTATTCAAAATTCAGTCGCTATGATTTTTACAGATAAAATTTCTTTTTAAATGATCTAGATTAATGGCACATTTATTTGGTAATAAAGTCTCTCTGCTCCATGATAGAACATATTGCCGGACTGACTCTTGTTTGTTTTTTCGACGTTTTTTTTATGATTATTTACGTGAATTAACTTGCTCCATTTCTTAACATATCAATCATATGTAATTCACATTTATTGAGAAAATTTTAGGTGTGAATTCAGAATACACATAATGTAAAAGGGTTTTACAGATATAAATCTTAGGATTGGTCTATTGTTAAATTAACGAAACCTATTGTGTATACACAAAGTTCAATTATGCACCAATATTTGACACTGTTTATCTAAATTATTTGAAAATTTAATTTTTAATAATTGAATTCATGAGTCAATCAAAGCTAGATCACCATAGAAAGCACTGGACTGCCATTTCGTCGTAGGATGGGGCTCTTCAGCAGTACGTATTCACAATCCCCCTCGCGGGATTGAAACCTAGAACCTAACGGTTATTGTCTAACTTCAACCAATCCACGGAATCGGATGTCAACACAGTGGTCTAAAGGTGTTAGGTTCCGATAAACATAATTAATGGTAAATTTAGAATCATTTTATGCACCAATAATAAACGTATATTTTTATCGTATAATTCTTAAATAACTAAAACATTCATATTCATATTCCTCTTATCATAAAATTTATTTTGACCTATGAACCATTATTATACGTCTTACCATTCTTGAATTATACCCTGTCTATTAGTCACTACCTCCCACATTCACACCCACATTTGGCCAAATTCTGTGCAAATGTTATTTTCTATTTTATGCTACGTTGTGGTCTGTTTGATCGGTATATAAACTCAGTATATTTGAAGTATATGGATTAATATTGCAGAGGCTGCGACTGATGTTTGGGACTTGACTGGCTGGGCTAGGTGGAAAGCAGGACCGTTAAGTACTCTAGGCTTCTCGCACGTGTTTTACGCGTCCTCGGTCCGATCGATAATTCACTGCCCTCTAATCGGCGGTCACAAGTTATAACAAAAGGTTAGGCGTTCGCAAGCGAGACTGATAGGTCCTGGGCTCAAATCTTACTAGCGAAATCGTGGACGCGCACTGCTGAGGAGTCCTATACTAGAATGAAACGACCGTAAATTGCTTTTAGGTTTTACATGGTGGTCTAGCTTTAGTTGACTCATGAGTCCAACCATTAAATTACCAAAATCTCCACGAAAACCCCTTCTGATAATATTCTTTTTTTATGTTTTGAGGTAACGATCATATAAGAATGTGAAAAATTAAAAACTATTAGTGAGAATAAGATTTTATCAATCAGAAGCCGATATTATTACTAAATTTACAGTGTAATTCGGTGTATTTTAGTGTTTGATATTATACATACTATCAGATTGATAGTCAGTAAGATTTTCTGTAATAAACCGTTGCTATTCACCGATGTAATAAAAGCAAATTACATAACATAAATCAATCAGTTGCTTCTATCTTATTGAAATACAAATGTAGTCAAAATTTGTTTTTTTTTCACCAAGGTAACTTATAATTTACAAAATATTTTCATGAAATTCATCATACAAAATTCTAATGCACACAGTAAATAATTCTACTAATTAGTTTGACAGAATTAACAATAATTATGGTTCCAACTTTCAATCCTGTTATTATAATATTATAAGAATAAATTATTTGATCCAAGTAGTCTCAAAACTCAATTTTATGGAAGCTTAGTGAACTGTTGACAAAATAACAATTATTAATTTGATTCCGAAGAACATTTTGAAATCGTTCAGTGTTTACGAATCTCAGTGAGTATATTTGTGGCGGTTTGGCTTCGAGATAATTCCTTACACTTCATATATCAGTCCCCAGGATAACCTGTATCAAATAAATACCAAAGGTTTATGAATTCAAAGGGCAACACGAAGCGCTGACTACAGTTCATTATTAGATAGAGTAGATCACAAAGTCACAAGCACACCATGTGAATTCGAGCAGAAAACCTAACGCGCACCAAAGAAAGAATTCACAGACGAATTAAGAAACCAATAAAGGATCAAACGAAGAGTAGAGTTAATTAGGACGATTCAAGCACGTATTCATGTGAAAAAGCCAATGATGAATCGAGCGGTCTAAGCAACTAACATTTAAGCTAGAGAGTAGGATATGTGTGTAGACTGTCACACGTGATAAAGCATATATGTTCATACAGACATGATGGTTATACTAATGATACAAAGACATAGACAAGTTGTTACTGTTCGAATAACACTGTCTGTCGACTAAATTAACTGAAGAGTTTGACACAATTAACCGTAAAAAAATTTAAGTTTAGGAGATGTGCTATATGTTATAATTTTATAGTCAGTATCATCAAATAGTCATAGTTAAACAACCCCAGAAAACTAGGAAACAATGGACAGCTGTTTCGTCATAGAATCAGACTCGGCATTGTATCCACAGTTCCATCAGCAGGGGTTGATCCCAGGACCTTCGGTCTTGGGCATAAACGACCA